AGCCCTCTCTTTTCTCCCCAGTACTGATGAGCACAGCAGCCCATGCAGCCTAGGGCATCTGACCTTTAGTTACCACAGATGCAGTTCTCTCTCTCTCTCCTGTAGCAACAAACTGTCACATCATTAACCAGAAGCTGGGGGGAAAAAAGTCAAACCTTAAAACTTAAAGGGGTTGGTCTCATTAATATCCTGACGCTGCATTTACATTATCTCCCAAGTTACACAGGCAGGAGAAATTCCACATCAGAGAGGGCAGAAGTGAGGGATGAAATTCATGGCTGAACACACACAGAGTTAGTGACCCTCTCCATACTTCCCTTGCACTTTGAGTTAGTTGCACTTGGACCACGTTAAGTGCTGGCCTAATTACTCAAGCTCCATTGTACAGCACCAGCAACTCTGCTGCTGCTTTCCCAGTTCTAACAGCTGTTTGTCTGGGGCTGTATGGAAATGCATATGAGGAGCTGTGGCTAACGACACAGAATTGACTAAAAAAGAAATTTACTGCTGCACAAATTAGCAAAGACTATGTCTAGAAACAAATAATTCATTTTTATGATTGCCGCTAAAATAAACTCTTGCATTTTGCATGAGACCGTTAAGTTGGAAATAATAAACAAATAAATTCAGCGTGATTTCTTCAGCTTTAGGTTCAAATCAGCCCTCCTGGTATATAGCTATAGTTACAAATGCTTAAGTTGTGCATTTCTCAAAATGGATACATAATACAAAAAATGGGTTCTAAAGCAGAGGTCGTGGAACTTGTGTTGGAAGTGAATATAGTAAATACCCCTCTCTACTTCTTGCCCTGATATGTCAGTGTGTATTCATACTGCTGCAGCTGTCCATCCCTGCGTGGCACTCGGTGGCCACCTCTCTGGCATCTGGTCATGATTCAATATTTAACAAACAGCTCCTGAGGTCAGATAACACACTTGATAACTAATAGAAGTGCATTATGACTTGCTGATTTTCCTCTGTGTAGCTCTGAATTGCTCTGAGCACAGGTATCAACCTCACCTTGGTGAGCACCAAACCCAAGTGCCTCCTGCGACACTGCAATTTTAGTCTGGATTGAGAAGAAAATGATAGTGATTTGCCCAATGAAAACCCAAACGTGACCTCAGCTTGTATTTTGTTCAATTATCTCCAGCACATCTAGTAAACTGCTGTTCTGAGGGGATTATGTTCACACATGAAGCAACACTTATCACCATACAAAAAGGGACCCTCTAGGTATTAATTTTTTATGTACCAAGCACTTCCTTTACAATTCCACTGCCATGTGGCATCAGTGTTCCACAAATGCAGAGTGTTGCTGCATTGCTTTGACTCCTTATGATTTAGTGAGTCTGAGCAGATACAACTGATTGTATGAGCCATTTGCATTTTCTGCCCTTTTAGAAGACAACAGACCATCTAAAAACTCTTAAAATAGCACTGTCTTTGCACAGCTCAATAAATCATTATGAATAAGCAAAATCCTTAGTTATGTTACAATCTAAATTAGCCAGGACTTTACATGAGTTTGTAACAGGTAAGAAAAAAAATGGACAGAACTGATCACAAACCAGATAAAAGTCTGGGAACATTCCACATGGGAGGAAGCTCCAGAAGTGTCTGTTCCTGAAATGCAAGGGACAGAACTTGTGCCCCAAAAATTCTTCCAAGATGCTTTTTATAGGTTTTTTTTGTTTGTTTTTTTTTTAATTTATCTCAGAAATAATTATTTCTATATTTTAAATATACTGGCGAATCAAGCAAAATCATATAATGAAACTGCATAAACAGCAGTTAGATGGAATATACATTATTTACTCTTGCAGCCTGACAAAAGAAATATAGTTCCTCTTACATATCAGATTTTAAAAGCTGAAACAGAAGACAGATCCTTTCCCTGCCTGGAAAAATGTACAAGGAATATGGCTTGAAAACAGGGCTCTCCTCATGCTCTTTGAAGTCCTCCAAAATGCACTAAAAGCAAGCACTTTGCAGGAGGCTCCCTGAAGCTGACAGGATTAAACCTGGGAATGGTCTATCACCTTAGTTCCAGTCTGTGATTCCCAGTCCCAGCAAGAGCACTAAGCTCATTCCCAGCAAACCACGGCCTTGCATCAGCCTTGGAGTGCCAGCTCACAGCCATTTCTGAGACACAGCACAACCCTGAGGCTTTCCAGGCTCCCCATCCTTGATAAAAGTAAAACATACAATGGAAGGGGAAACTAAGAAGCGCCTATGGTTTAATTAAGGGCTGCAAAGCCACAGGTTTCTTCTGATATTTGAACTAATCCCATGGTAAAATTATCATTTGGTAAGATTTTTTACATTTGCTGCAATGCCATGGCTCTAGCAGAAAGCACGTACAGGAATGAGTTTCAAGGTTCTTGGCTAACGGCTTTCTGTATATCTTTATCATATTTATTTAGATTGAAACAATAATATTAGAACTGCTTCCACAGCCTCTGGGAATTCCAGCACACAACTTGCACTATAGCAAAACTCTCTCGCTACTAAAACAAGACCCCTGGCAATTTGTAGTTATAAAGGAAGTGTATTTTCAGAAGGCAAAATAAGCATGCTGATGTTATTAAACATGACAGCGGGTCAGTCTGGGGACAGGGCAAAAACTGAGCTGGAGAAAACATTAGTAAATCATCCATATTCCCATCACCTGTCCTGCTAAAATTGTTAAAGCACTGCTGGAGGTCATCTCTGAGCCAATGGTCTAATTCATTCTAGAGAAGATAAGGGAGACATCAACACTTGACTGGCAGCTCCCCCACTCCATGTTCCAGGATCCTCTCCCCACGCCAGGTCTCTGCTTGAAGCAGACTTGGATTTGCTGGCTCCTTTCCAAGGACTTCTGAGGAATGTGAGCAAAGGAGATCTCACCTTACAAAGAGCTGACTGCACTTGAGGTCTCTGGACTCAGGGCCCCTCTGGAGTTTGCTGGTGCAGAAGTACCCACGGAGGGCAGGAACAGCTCCTGGGGACAATCCTGAGAAGAAAGATGAAGTCATTACCCAAGTGGTTTAACAGAAATGAGAGTATTGACTATTTTTCCTCCTTTGGTTGGAACCAAAGAATGCAGCAAGTGGATCAGGTCAAACTCAATAAACCCTGTTAAGATTTTTGTCCTAATGACCACAGGTGAGTGGACATAAGGAAATACTTAAATAATGCTGCCGGAGAAAGACATCTGAGGAAAATATCAAGCTCTGCTGCCAAAGTACAGTGAAAGTTTGCAAATTTGAATGAGTTTGATACAAGACTTTGAGACTGTGGAACAAACTTTGCAGCCTTTATTCATCATCCCAATAATCCTGACCAAAAAGAGGCTGTGAATCTTCTGCAGTCTGGGAGGTTAAGGAGAAGAGTAAAATGTTGGTAGTAATATCTGTGTTTCTTCTACATTTTTATACACCTTTTAATTTTTTTTTAAACTTGACTCCACTCTAGTGGAAAGAAAAATAATTAAGAAGAGGAAAAAAATCAGCTTAAGTAGAATCAAGACCTGATTGTTGGGTAGCAGCTGGGATTCTGACGGTCTGGTGCTTAAACCTACACAGTGCCTCCAGGAGCCCCACAGTGCAACCACCATCTGTAGCTCTGGAGCTAAAGAAATAGCAGGATGGGAAATAAATGATAGGAAGTAAAGAGAACTCATGGTATTATACATTTACCCCCTTTCTTTTCTCTATTTGATTTTCTAGGGGTGAAGTGACCAAAGAAAATATAGAAACAGATTGTCATTTACTCTGCTTGGGATCTTTCCCGGCTAAAACTAAATGTTTATAAAAGGTACATTATTGTTGCTGTGTCCACACCAGCACCACCATCGTGTCACTGAACTGCATACATGTGCATGTAGACTTTAAGAAGCAATCCTTTTTATCCTGGTGATGTGAAGTAACAAGCACTTTGGAATGAAACTGTACTTTTTTATTCCTGAGCACCTGTGCGTAACATTACGTGCCAAAGTCTTAGTCTGTACAATTAATACTAGCCATCTGTTGAAAAGGAAACTCTGTTCTTCCTGGCATTGACAAAGAAATTTAGACCAGGATAGTACAATATGCATCTTTGAGAAAGGTCCCAACTACAGATGAGAATTTCTTACTATAGGAAAAGGTTTCTAAAACCTCGTTACTGAAAAAAACAGTTATCTTGGAAAAAAAGTATTAGACAATTTTCTTTAAAGCTCAGCCATTATGAAGTGTGTTTGGGGTTTTTTAATCCTTGGAAATCCACCTTCTCCCTCTAGCAGCTTGGAGCTTTTTCCCCTCTTTATATTAAGTAAGGATAGATTTTCTTACTTATAAAAAAGCCTGTGGAAAGAAAAATCCTGCTTAATTCTTCACAGCAGATCTCTGAGCACAAACTTCCATATAGAGACTCTGCATTGCTCTGAAAAATGGGAATGGAGTTCTGGGTGCAGCTTACAGACTTGGGCTCTGCTCTGGAGAGATACCTTAAGCAGATAAAGGTGAATTTTATTAAGCTAAATCCTTTCATTTCTGCCCTTGGACTTGAGAACAGTTTGAATGTGATTGCAGGAAAGATAATATCTGAGCTTTGGACTTTGAAAGAACTGAGAAGAACACACGTGTCTGCTTCAAGCCTCTCTTTTTGATCCGGGAATACAAACCGCGGCCTGTGCACCTTGTTAGCAGAGGAAGGGGTACCGGGACACACCCCTGGAAACAGCTGGAGGAATTTAAGGCTTCTGTGCTACTGAAAATAGTAATATTATTTGCCCAGTGGGTGCCTTGAGCAACACTGCTGTTGTTTAGCTATGTCTAGCATCTGATTTAGCAAAATGAACTGCTGTGGGGCTGACAGATGTTTGAGTGAAATCATGGATTGTCATTTGGGGAAAATGATGGATAACATTCTTCACCCATTTACTTAAGGTGCTTTTTCCTCATTAAAAATGTATCTCAGGCAAACTGAGTGCACTGTATTATCTTGTAGCTAAGTAAAATTCACTTTTGGATTAAAACCTCATCTCTGAGTTGCATACAGAGGCACAAAGCTGTCTATATTGCCAGCTTTATCTTGTGAAAGATGGAGGGACCAGAATGAGGAGTGCAGAATCACGAAAAAAACACGGGAAGAACACAGGCTCCTTCCTCCAGGGAAGTGCTATTTGTGTTGCCTCCTATAGATCTTACAGTAAGGCCAGCCAAAGCCTCCTGCATTTCAGTGATTCTGTTGGGTAACACCAACCAGTTCCTTACCTTCTTGCCTCTGTCTGCTGCCTTTCCTAGACCTGCATTCAGCTGGGATTTTTGGGAAGCTGGAGTTATCCAGTAGGTCTGGGGTGGCCAGGCTGTAACCCAGTGGGGTCTGGCAATGCCTCATGCTTCCAAAGCCTGAATTAATAATACCAACACATTATAAACTGACCACTGCAAGCTATTTCACAATAGCACACAAAAGTAATTTCCCTAATACCTTTCTATCCAGGGAAAGTGCTCTTTACGTCTCATGGAAAAATGGCTTCTCTCAGGCTGCAACACAATTCTGCTAATTCAGGGCTCACAGGACTGAGATAATACTGAGTGAGAGCTTCCAGAATTTTGCCATCCTCTGAACTCAACTAGAGAAGTGCAAATACCAGTTTGCCAATTACCAGGCAGGGCATTTCCCCTGCCTGCTCACAGATTAGCTGTCACAAAGACATATCAGTTCTGAACGTTTCTCACTGGAGCATCATGTAAACACTTGCAGGAAGGGAAAAGCAGGAAAACTTTGAATTATAAACAAAAGAATTTGGATAACCACAATCAAGATTTTAAAAACTGCGCTTACAAATAAGCACAAATAAAATATTTCCACAGACCCAGGAATTCAGATGATAAAGTGCTCAGAAATGTTCTGCCAGAGGGCTGTGTTTTCCCCTTCAAGAAGTTTTGATACATCAGCAGCCATATGCTTTAATTTACTGGCTTATGCTAATTTCAGTGACATTTTGCTTCTGATGAGAAAAATCTAAGTGATCTAAAAATCTATGTGATGTTGCAAAATGAGTTTTCACTTGAAATGTATAATACATATGCGCAAACAGATTTTGGTTCTGTCAAAACTTCTGCAGCAATACAATAACAACAGGAAAATAAGGAGCTCTGAAAGGAGAAGAATAAACTGCCACTGAAGGAGACTGGGGCTTGGGGTCATGGAAATCCTTCACTGATTTTGGACAATTATCCTTTCCATTGGCCAGACAACATTATTGCTTTTGGTCAGCATGTAGGGACCAGATGTGCATGTTCTTGATTCTGCCTCACTGAAATGGAATGGATTAAATCATCTCATAACTTCCAATCATAAATTTCATTGGTTTTATGTTTTCTGTAGGAAATAATCAAATTCTTGAGTTACTGATTTCACAGACCAGCTTTTTGGAGCTACTCCATTAAAACAATGGTGATTACAGAGTACTCTGAAGTTCTCTTTCCATATAAGCTGGAGATATTAAAATAGACATGATCAAATACAGGATACTATGAACAAATTAAATTATGTTGTATTTATGAGTCTGCAGTACATTATTTATGCTGGCATTAGGAAAACATTTGGGAAAGTCCCCAGGTGAAGCTGGGATGCCAGACTTCCTGACTCTAAATTATAGTGCAGGTTTTGATACTCTGTAGGTGACAATCATGGCCAGGTCATCAGCAGCAAGTCTCCAACCAGCTTCCAATGAAAGATTCATAGACTTGAACTGATCCTGGCTTCTGATCCCGGTTCCAAACCCGTGGAGTCTTTCAATGTATGGCTTCAAGCAAACTTGCTGCTATTCTAAGCAACTCTGGATATCAATACTTTTGAGAATGAAAAAGGGAAATTGTCCTTTGACCCTGATTTATGAAATAACTTGCACTCTTTTTAACCCATAAAGAGTGCATTCATTTTTGTCTTACGGAAAAAGCCAATTATGACATTTTTCCAGGGATGTTCTTTCCAAGGAGGTTCAGCTGCTGCCATCTATTGATATATATTGTGAAGGGTCACTGTGAAAGTGCACATCTTCCCTGTACCTTTTCTAAGAGAACTGGAAAATATCAGGGGTGAGAAAAGGACACTGAAAGAATGCTTCTCCTTCCCAGCAGTGAAAAGCAGGAATTTGGAACAGGAAGAAAATATCAAGAATAGTTTGAGGGTGGGGTAAAGGCATACATAGATTTTATTCTACAGGTAAATTTTCCAACAAGAAGGAATGAGATGCTCATCTCACATGTATGGGATCATCTGTCACTAAACTGACTTCCCTAAAAACCAGCCTGAGATGTGTAGCTGTGTTTTCCCCACTAGCTCATATTTAGATGAGTTGGTCAACATTCAGCTCCTTAACATCAGCCCAACCTCACTGGACATGCAAATCATCCAAGCCTTTGGACAAGAGCCTACTTCCAACCATCTGTGGAAGGAATGCACTGACCTGAATTAATTACCTGAAATTAAGCCAGCTTTTTAAAGGGATGAGACCAAAGCAGGAGATGGCACTGAATCTGAATAAGAAGTGAGTTGTGACTTCCAGCAAAGCCCTGACTACGTGACAGGGAGCAAATTGTCAAGTTGAGGAAAGCAGCTTGGATGGAATTACTTCATGGGAGTGGAGGAGAAAACAGGGAAGAGGCCAAGGTAGAATTTTGTAATTTCCTGTTGTTGTGTATCCCAGCAAAATACTGCCATGCCTCAATCCTACTTTTGGTTTCCCTTGTGCTGAGCAGCAGACAGTCATTATCTCCTCCAGTCTAAGACCCGGGGTCTCACAGCTGTATAACAGACCTAAGGGCTTTTTCAATGCTGTGGCTTTCCCTTTCACAAATAAACAACTTTCATGAACACTTCTTCTCTCACTGCCTCTTTTACCTTTGGTCTTGCAAAAATAAGAATTTCTCCCTTCTGAAAATGAACTTACTTTGTCTAAACAGAAATCTGCTTATTAATTTGTTTTCAGTTGGAACACAAAATATCCACTGCACACTTCCTGCACTATGTCAGCATCTTGCTAATTACCTAAACAACACTTTTTTTGTTTTGGTTTTTTTCAATGAGACATACTGGGGAGAGGCAGAGTCTGTCTTTGGTTACTCATTTCATTTATTCAAATTACAGCTTCCCAACCCAATGCTGCAAAAAAAAGTGCTCCAGGGTAAATTTGAATGTCTGTTGTGTTAGGAACCCCTAAGTATAATGCAATTAGAGCCATGCCATGAATGACTAACACTTTAGAAGCAATTATTTCACAACAAGGTGAATTTCCACCTCACAACAAATATTTCTCAGGTTTTTGTGTGCTGGTGCTAAGAAGATTAGAGAGATTAAATAAGCATTTATAATCATGAAGGGAAACCAAGAGCAATCTTACTCTAGTCTGAGGCAGCTGGACTGGGGATGTCAGGGCTGGAAGGTAATTGAGGATGGAGGCTCTTCAGAGCTTGTTGATCCCGTTGTCCAGGGTCAGGCTCTCCTGGATGACAAGACCACTGCAGTGCAGTGTGGTACAGACACGATGGACACTGAGAAAATGAAGGGAATTGGCATTAACAAGCCAGTTAGCTGCTCTATAAGGGAGTCCTAAAGGCATGGACATCCCATCTGATGTCAAGGCTGTTCCTCAGGAATTGCAACCACCTACTGCCTGCTAGGAATACACATGTCCTAGGCATTGTTACCCAGGTTGGCTGATTTTTATTTATACTATTGCAGTACTTTGCCAATGGGTCAACAGCTGAGTTAGAGCTCACAAAGCTGATGGGTTTCCTTGTGTGAAATACAGAAACAAAAATAAATAGTGCATTATTGCTATTTGCATAGTAAATCTTCACTAAAACATTATGGAAGAACAATAGGTCTTTTCCACTTGAAAATGGAGCTCCACACTTCTGGGGTGGCATTCTCATTGCAAAGACAGCAGGCTCACCACAGGCCCCTTCCTCGTCTCACTACTACCCTGTTCCCCTTTCCAAACAAAAGTTACACTAGTTACTATTGTAACAGCCTGCACATAATCTGCTGAGAATAAATACCCATGTAATGAGCCTGAAATGATATGGTAATTTCTTAATTCAAAATAATTACATGGCTATTTGGGCCCTCCAAAATAAGGTATTACTTATTCAGCCCAAACAAATTGCTGTTTGCCCAGGTTTTGAACTCCGGTAAACAGAAGTGCAGCAGTCATCCGCATACTGAATCCTGAGACAATTTTATGTTAGATGTTTACATACACGGAATTGGAAACAAATATTTGTCAAGGCAACAAGCAGCTTTTAGCACAACCAAGGGGGAAAAAAAAAAACAAACCAGAAAGCCCTTGGAAACAGGACTGAAAACATGGCCAAGTCAGAGTGCTACAAGGGCACCAGCTGGCTCCATGTCACCCAAGTGCCCTCTAAAACATCTCACAAGCTTGAAAATGTTAGATAAGAGGATGGGAATTGTTTAGTTTATTTTGGCTTGTCATTTGTGTCTGAGTTGAGTGCCTATCTCCCTGTGTCACCTGGAGATGCAGATAGGAAAGCCACCACAGAAATGAAAACGGAAGGAAGAAAGGAAAGGAGGAATGAGGGCAGACAGACCTTCAAGCCATTGATTTCAGCCAGCTTTCCTCGAGTCAATAAAACATCTTCCACTGGCTTTGATGAGGGCTGAGCAGGCCTAGACTTCAGAGCATTAATGAAAGATTTAAAAATCATCTTGTGAGCACTAGTAGAAGGCGCTCCATGAATGTGAATAATGCAAGCTGGAGTCATGACTATTGACTTCTCAAAGGTAATTCCCTGCTCTCAGACCGCACAAAGCTCCCATAACGAAGGACATGGAATTGGACTGATGCTGCTTTGTGGAGGAAGGCAGAGCCCTTCAACACCCAGAGTGGGGATCAAGTACCTGACAGACACCCACTGAGTGAAGCACATGAGTGGACTAAATTGAGTGGGCTACTTTTCATCTGAGATGATTAAATATTTGGGCCTGGAATGAAAATGAAATCCACACTTGAGTTTCTACTCCTCTATTACACAGCTACACTTCAAACACACTACGTTGAGTTTCACACCTGTATTTATAATTTTGGGAAGCGGACATAGATTAAAGATCTGCATGCCATTTCCTACTTCCAGGGGAAAAAAATAATGAAATCAACTGAAATCAGGTCTGTCCTGATAAAGTACATCTTGGATGAGACATAAAACTCAGCAGCCAATGCTTCCACTTAAAAAAGTAGGCAAACTGAAAAGGCAGGAGATTCAGAGGCTCTCAGACTACAAAGAAATAATATATACTCTGTTTTAACGAGGATTGGTAACTTACAGCAGGGTGGTCCAAAGGGTATGAACAGAACCACTGTTTGGCTTCCAGAAGCATTTCATATCTGCTAAGAGTCATCTGATGTTCTAAACCTTCAAGAAAGCAAAAAACACCTAATTACTAAAAATACTTAAACTTTGTATGACTTAAGTGGTAGCGCTCATTTTAATGCATACTTTGAAATTTTTGTTTCAGCATTAATTATCTCTTAATATATTTATATATCATAGCTGGACTATTCCAACACTTCCACTTAGCATTCTTGCTGCAGAAAAATCAGCACTATACTCACTGCCTCATTTGCTGACGATGCTCAAGGTGTAATTTGGAACACTTGACCTTACCAGAAAAATTGCAGCTTTCTATGGCATCGATAGATTCGTCATTAAAAACCCTCAACACTGTTTTGCATCGTTTGGAAACAAGCTGCACCTAAGATTACAACACAACACTACGTGTTGTGCTATTTATGTAATTGTTTTCCCAGAAAACACCTGTTTTTCTCTCATTATTTGTATTTGGAAGCAGATTATTTATGTCAGGAAGCAAAAAGGTGCAGTAGAAGGTTGCCTTCCTGGAAGCAGTGTCCTGCTTGCTTTCTCTGAGGTTGTGTCAAGAGGCTTCCAGCATCCTACAGTCCCTTCCTATGGCCAAGTGCCTTCAGGCTGCTTTCTGCTCTTTCATGCCAGGTCAATTCAATTCAGCCTTGCTCTTTGCTGCCTTGCCATTCTGCACACCAGCATTGTTTTAGGTGCTCTGGACACTACATTAGTTGCACATTTTCATGAGAACATTGTGAAGCTCTCTTCAGTTCTCTGTATGGATTCTTTTAAGCACCACAAGAGGATGAAAAAAAAAAGCCAACCCCAACATTCCAAATTCAGGTACAAGCAGCAGTGCATGCAGGTGCTGTTGCCCATTTTGAGTGATGATGTCCAGATTATTTTAAACACATCACCTAAAACGTTGGCTTTCATTCTAATGTGTCATTACATCCACTCAGATAAATTCATTTGTCCATCTCAATGATATTGCTTGTTTCAGCTTGCTTGGTTTTAATTTGGGCCTGAGCTGCTCTGTAATCATTTGTTCAAGTTTATGACATTACACATTGTTGACTAATAGCTTCATTTTGCTGAGTTTCCATTTATTACTGTCAGTATTACAGCAGGATTTAAATTTTTGTAACTTGCCTATCCTAGCATGAATGTAATTTCATTGACGTTTAACACTGATCCTGAAGGCTTCTCTTTGACTGTTTGTCACCCCAAGATCAAATACTTTCGCTGCTGACTTTTAAAATCAATTATAATCTTGCAGGATTTGGCTCAGAGGATAACCTAAAGTGAAAGGCAGGGAGTCTTAGGAGAGAAAGTTTCCAACATGAGATTGATTTTTCATGTGCAGAAACAAAAAGGTCTGCTAAAGAGAAAAAAACCAAATAAATCCAAACTCCTCGAACCAAAGAAAAAAATCCTCAACTCAGAGTCAAGTCTTTTCTAAGACACTTGAAAAATATGTGTAAATCTGGTTTTCAGTACACTGAAAGAATCTGGTGTAAAATAATTAAATATGCATCCCTATTTAATTAATTTTAATTTAATTAAATCAAATATTTATTAAATATTATGAAAACATGCACGTCAGAAATATTTAAACTACAATTTATCATTTTAAAAACAACATTCCTCTCTCTGCTTTCCAGTATTCACAGTTTTATAAGCTGGATCTCCAAGTTCAATAAAAATATTGAGGTAAAACCAAGTGCTGTGCTGGGTGATTTTCCATCAATAGATAACCAGATAAAAGCCTTCACTTTCAGAGTCATTCCCTGTCTGTATAAATGACAAATACAGATTAATGGAATCCTCAGAAAAAGAATAATACAGTATCTTAATGGAATGAGCAAATGTTGCCTTGAAAATACCCTTTCACACTATGAACCATAATTGTTCTTTAAATTCCCAGGGAGAGCATACATTTGCCTCCCACTCTGAATTAGGCTGAAAAACATTTTAAGGTACCAAATTTGAAAATTGCTGGAGGAATTATTCACATATGGCTAAGCAGGAGGGCCACTAAAACCAGATTAAAAGTAAATGTATTGAAAGGCAGATTTTAACAGCTTATTGAATAATCACATCAAACAGACATGAAAATGCACGATCTTGCGTAGGGATTCTCTGTGATTGCTGTTGTTTGCCCAATAACTGGGAGGATCTGGGGGAAAGGCAAAGCCAGAAAGCAGAAACTTGTGAGGGGAAGTAACACTGGGGAAGGTGGAGGAGCTGCAGACAGAAAAGTTGCCAAAGTTAAGGCGAGGCCAGATGGGCTGGCAGAGAGGCCCAAGGTAGTAATTGCTTACCTGGGAGTGTGTGTGAGCCAGGATGTGCAGGATTGCCCTTTCCTTGTCTTTCCCAGCTGCACAGTGCTCCAGGTATCCTGTCCCCAGCCCTTCTCTCTCCTCCCCATGCTGAGAACCTCCCTGCAAATGAGAAAATAGCCATTACAGGAGCAAGCCAGCCTCTCCTGGGGGACACGGGGTCACCTTTCCAGATGCATCAGTTTCTGAACTATTAACACACAATTTTACCCAAAAATGGCATCTCAAGGTATTTTCCTAACGCCAAAGTTTTCTTCAGAAAATTCAGTATTGGGTTCTGCTTTAACCACAATTTATTATATTAAACAGGACAACACATTTTGCTTTAAAAACAGTGATTGTCAACTGCATTTTCTTAGAATATTTCCACCTGGGAATTCAGACATTTTTGGCACAAGAACTTCAACTTGCTGCAGAGTTGTGCATGTCATTATTTAGTTACACACATTCCAATTATTTCATCCTGGGAGAGGGATTTCTCAGCCCCACAGAGCAAATTGGAGGCCAGGCAATATTGGCAGTAGGAAGGCTCATGATTGAAAGAAAAGGAACCAGTTCACTTGCAGGAATGCAGCGTGTAAGAGCAATCTAAAATGCTAAATATGCCAAAATGTGTTTCCAAATCAATGTTCTTTGAAATCTCCGTGTGCCAAAGGCAGATGTTAACATTTTAGTCTTTATGGAAATATAAACAAACATTGAGATATCCAAAGGGAGGAAAACGTGCAATTTTCTCTCATCTGCTTGCATCTACTCCCCATTTTAGGACAGAGCCTAAGTAATAGAGGTCCTTACCAGTGAGGCTAAGGGTAAAAGACTTAAAAACTTATAATTTGAACTCCACAGGAAAAGTTAGTGTGACTCACATGAACCTGGAGAACCTTATCAGTGCAATGAAAATTCTACCTGGGGTAGAACCTTTGTAATTGAAATCTAAATACAGATAAATATATGTATAATGTAACTGTTCATGCACATACAAGCCACTAAAAGCAAAATCACAAAGATGTTCTGTTGTCAGAGCCCAGCATTAATTTACTTTCCAATTCCAGTCAATTTGTTATCACAAATGCTCTCAATTAAAATGTTTTATTTGATACAGGGGGAATTAAAACAATCTTTTTATTCTGATGATAGAGATGCACTTAGCAGAATATAAAATAGTGATTTAATGGCTACTTAATGGTCTGAAGCTTTAAATGAACAAATCATAAATTAACGCTTTTGTAGCCTTTTATGCTTTCCCCTTTGGATCCTAAAAAAAACAATTTGCATTCATTATGTAGGTCTGATATAGAATACCTTGCTCCCCAGTGACATTCAGCTGCATTCCAGTATTTGTCACGAGAGTGAGCTTGACACTGCTGCTTTTGGAAGAGCTCCTAGTTTAAGGTGTGGGACATCTCCTTGGGTCAGAATGATTTCTAACTTCTGCAGGTGACTCTGAGACTGCCTCAACACCTGACTGAATCACTCTAAATCCATTGTTTTGTTTGCAGTTCACTTCATCATTTCAGACCAGCCAGTGGGGATGGATCTTTGAAACCCGCTATGGAAACTGAGCACAGAACATGGGTAGGTAAATGGTAAGTTTGCAGTGAGACTTTATGAAAGAAATTCCTTCCCAGAAGTGTTGGCAAGCACTGCTACTTGAATTAGATCCATGAGTCAGTCTCCTTTTCTTCCTGAGTCACTGCTGATTACAACACATCAGTAATTTAGCAGTTAGAAAAAAAAAAGCCCTTAAAAATAACAAGCACTCACACATATATTTATGTGAGTATTTAAAGACTCATCTTGGGTTAAAAATATAATTTTTTGATTAAAGTATTTGGAGTGGAAAAAAAAAATATGAAAAGAAAAAGAACATCCCTAAGTGTTTTCTCTCTGAATATAGTCTGAACTTCTAAAACTGAATTTATTGTATTTTCTTTTCCAAATATGTAATTCAGTGTGTTCTACAAGCAGAAAGTTTTAAAATACCACTACCAAAAGGAAACATAACTGTTCTAACAATTTTATTCCATTCCCTGGGGATTTTTTCCCTCTTCTGGGCATTCTGTGCTAATCTCTTTCCATTTAGGTAGCTGCCAGAAGGGCGTGTTCAGCTGCCTCAGTGGTGCCACAAACGGGCACTGCCTGTTTGCTGAGCCCACCCCTAATGTGGCATCGTTAGTGCTCACCCTGTTCTTACAGGCACTGTCATCCCCAGGTCATTTCTGCCTCCTGTGCACTTTCCTCCCATTAAGAAGCTGGGTTTGCAATAATTCTCCCCTGACCAATTACTTTTGGAAGCACCATTGTGCTTTTCCTCTTGTTGCTGCTGTTAGATCCATTTTCAGCTTTTTCTATGTCTAGAGCCTACCAGGATTATATAATGACAATATCAGTAGCTCAAATGGTACCTGAGAGCTTACATCCTCCTATTTCAAAACCTCATTATATTTTTAAAAAATAATAAATAACCCTATTTTAATGTCACAGAAATTTATATGTGAATCCTCTGTCACAAAAAAACCTGGTCCAGCTGCCTCTGGGACTTTAAGCACAGTAAATAGATGGCATCAACAAAACAAGCTCAACCAAACAACATAATTCTCCACTTTTCAGAGGGGTAAAAAAAACTGCAGCAGCAGCAGCAGCAGCAGCACGTCATGCAGTCTGATTTTTGATTAAAGAACCAAAACAAACCGGTGAAAAAACAACAACCAGCATTCATTCAATTTTGCTGAATTCACAGATCTCCAGTTGTGGAACAGACTAAATTAGAGAAGTGACAGCTGAACTACTATTGGGCTGTTAATGCACACCAGTCCTGTGAATGAGTTTTCTGGCGAGGTTAAAGCTTAACTAACTTTTTACACTAAGAAAGCCTAACTGCATATTTTGTGACTTCCAGATCACTTCCATGTGCTGTGCTTCTTTAGGCATGCTGTCCTTGCTTCTCCTGGTGAGGTAGCCAAGAAAATGTTGTGTCCAGACACTGAATGTGTCTTCAGATAGCCACTGAATTTACTACTGAGTAAAAGCAAGTAAAAGTATTTCTAAATTAAAATAATGCATGTAATGGCACCCTAGCACACAAGATTTCTTGCAGTCAGGAGGAAATTTTGTATAATGATACAATATAGATGGTGTAATAAATGCTACATGAGAAGCCAAAATTATAGGGCTCTTCATCTGAATCTCAGGAGTACTGTGTTCTCAAAATACAGAGAATTAACCCTAAAAGACCCCAAAGCTCTCCCTAGCAAGCTGTACTTTCACAGTGAGTTTCTCCCAGAGCTGCTGCTTTCTGTCTGAGTTTCTTCTCCTTTCCATCTATCTACCCTGCCCCTAATGCCTTCTACTTTGATCACTCCTCCTTCCTCTGAGTTTGGGTTATCTCAGCATCCACGTTATACAGAGACTTTTAAAGCACTGGACACATCCAAGGGGTTCAGATATTCTGACATGTGGGTTTTTTGCATGGAAAGTTCTGCAATTACCACAGCAGCTGATCCTTCAAGAGAGAGAAGATCCTTCATGGTGACTGAGAAGAGCCAAAGTGCTCTCATGCAAACAGCTCCATTTACTGATTTACCCCAAAGTTGCTGGAATTCTTTCTGCACACTGAATATTCCTGTGTTCTGCACAGTTTAAAAGGAGCACTGCTACCTCCCAAGTTGCTTATGAGCCAATAGAAAACACCACTGAAGCAGGTCCTACCTTAACTTTAGACCAGGCCTTTTCTGGAACAATTGTGCATCCCAATTTCAGGGGAATCTGACTTCCCAGCCGTGATGCTGCTCCAGCACGGAGTCAGACCATGCCTGGGAACTCCTCCCTGGTTCCACAGGGAAAACACAAGCTGCAAAATCCTGGCTCCGGTAGAATCTTGGCAGGAAATTCTAGAAATCAAGAGAGCATTGTAAAAGCAAGCTTTTCCATCTAAATTTTCAATATTACTATTTAATTTGCAAGTTCTCTGCCAAATACTCTTTCATGTAAGTCCATTTGCATTTTTCTGCTCAAGATTGACTCAACAGAGGAATAAGAATATTCTAAGAAGTCACCAAACACGAGAATGGTAGAAAGCCAATTAATAGTTTAAAAACTGCCAAGGATTGATATAAACATAAGGAGGAAACAACAAAGTGCTCCAATGAAAAGTTCTGACCAAGAACTCTTTCAAACACACTGTGGATTTGCAAGCAGATGTTGAGGTGCAGCAGAGAATACTAAAAGCATTCCAGCTCTTATCTAGCTGTACAAAAAATGCCTATTCACTTTTTAATCCTATATCTTCAATATTTTCCATTTCTGAAATATGCAGGTTTATAACAGAGTGCATCAAGATTTTTTTGATACTTATAGTAACATCAAATCTCCACTAATCAGTGAAAGAAATACATCATCAGTAATAAAAATACTCATTCCTTGAGGTACTGAAGCCATATCACTGTGAAGAGATAAAAATATCCTAGTGAATATATTTTACTTGTACAGATTTCTACAATACCAGGCAAATTTATGAACAAGATAATTTTTATAGGCCGTATTTAGCATTTCCTTTGCCAATTATATTGTACAATTTGGGTATTTCACTAAACATAAAGCAAAAACAAGCTGTGTGCACAGACGTGTGAGTATAAATACATATGTACCTAAATCCTTATCAGCGTTTTAGAGTTTGATATTGTCAATTTTAAGGCTTTTATATCATCAGTGTTTTACAATAACAACACAAGGGAGAACCACTCTAGTAGCTCTACACCAGGAGCTTTAAATTTGGTTAAAAACATTCTGGTTTAGGTTGTGTTTTATAATTAATATTAATATTACTGTTTTCCAAGGGATAAAATTGGGGCAACAATCAGTAGCTCACAAAAAGTATTTGAAAGTCACCAGTCTTCCAGTTTTTACAAATGTCAGCATATAAATTACTAGGCACTTAAAGCAAAAAGCTACTGATACAACAAAAGAAATCACAGAACTACCTAAACTATTCTGTGAGCATTTGCAAGTGATTACTGCCAAAAAAGGGATCAGTACAAATATTCTTCACACACACAGAAAAGACAATACATAAAATTGCACTTCAGAGCCCTGTATGTGTTTCAGCCGGTGACAGGCTTACTGAAGTTTAGCTAAAATCTTCTTTTAAAAAAAACAGAAACTGACATGAATACTGGAAAATTTTTATAAAGTATCTCAGGATTTTGACTGACACAGTTTTTGACACCGATTTTAAGATCAATATCAATATTAATGACAACTTCTGTAAAGGAAGATATTCTGAATTGAATACATAGAAATGGAAGCATCTTCAAAAAAAAATAGTTTATGTTCCATCACAAGTCATTATTCAATTGAAGTGTGTTAGGCTGCTTTATTTCACAACCCACTACATAAGTTTAATTTCAGTGCTTACTACTTTTCCTGTTGTGAAAAGAAGGCAAGGTTTCAAAAGTTACTGATGAACATTCAAACATGGAAACAACACAATTAGTTTAAGTTCTACTACCCTGCTCCTGTCCCTTTGTGAGGAGTCACTGAATTTAGACAGAGTGACAAATCAAAGGAAGTGCAATTAGACATTCAAATACAAAATTCCCACCAAGTTTTGACGTTGCTACTATTGCTGTATCGCCAGAAAGCAAATTGTTCTCCTATAAATCTCTCAAATCTGTGCTCAGAGTGAGGGAAAAAATATGCTGAACAACCAGCAAGAGATACACTGAGCTGGATTTATTCAGGGAGCTCCACCATCAGCCAAGGCATTTGGGATCAGAATAAACACCTTGCTCAAGAAGCCTGCACAGCGTGTGCTCTCGCTGGTGCCTCCCAGGGCTCTGAAATGGCATCTGACAAGCACTAGGCTCCATTTTTCATAAATATTTTGATAGCTTCTTTCCTCCGTGATTGCTTCCCGCAAGCCTCGAGTGAATGAAAAAGAACAGACTTGCAGCTAAGTCATGACTGAATTTTTTCATGAGCTTACATAAAACAGGTGCTTAGCAGTGAAAAAGAGATGTTTAATAGAAGCTGTGGGAGTATTTCTTCATTCACAGGTCCTTGTCCTTCACCAGACACTGCTGAAGCTCTGGCATTTTGGATTCTTTAACAACAGCTCAGCATTTGGCTGGTCAGTAACTCACTCACCTGCCTGTTTTCCTAAAGGAAAAAAAAAAGCCCAGATATTGGGGTTTTTTTTCCTTCTTCTTATAGCAGGCTAAAAATAAATTGCCATTCTTATCTTTGCAGACAGTCACAAAACTCCATGTAAAAAAACTATATCTGAAAAAATCTTCACTTACAGTAACTTAATTGATATGTCAATTTTGAGAGTGCTCCAGTTGTGTAATTCAGGATACTGTAGAAAAAGTCCTAGATAATGGGCAAGAATATTTCACAAACATGTCCATATTCCACTTTAGAAATTTTAAGTAAACAGGAAATTATCCACTTTTTAAATTATTACTATTATTTGCTTGAGAGAGTTATGAGTTTGTATCTAGTACTTGGGTCAAAAGTTTAAACATAAGTTAGAAAAAAATCCAATATAAATTTTTGCAAGATTTTTTTAAGGCAAATAGATGGGTTTCTGTCCCTGAATTCCTTTAAGTATTGATTCTATTCCACCTACACAAAGTCCTGCATTACTCAAGGCATAACACAGTTATCGCAAACATAGTTTTTAGACTTGGGAAATGCATATTTTCAAATTGATCTTCCATGATCAAATAACAATCTAAAAAAAAAAAAGCTACAGCTTTCCAAATTGATTTCCGCTGTTCTAACCTTTTGCAAATGAGTTATTTGGTACCTTTTCCTGTTTTGCCTCGAAATATCTGCCAGGCTTGGAAAGACAGTGCACAACTGCATCATCAGGATACAGCTGTTCACTCTGAGGCCTCAATCCTGAGCCATTAACATCAGTGAAAGGTTTTTATTGATTTCAGTGGATGGCAGAACAAGCTGTATTGTACCCAGGATATGTTGCAAATTGCATTTGATGTGCTCTGGCTTTTTCCCTTCAGATACCTGTGTGATCATGGGGGAAGACAGTTTAGCTTATTTTCTAACTGATTTTTAGAAGAGAGGGCTTTTTTATCCAAACAATTGCCTAAACTGAGTTTCTTCTGATAGCAAATCGGTTCTAAGGAGCAGAAATTTCTCTACTTCTGTTTCTTTTTCAGTTCATCAGCTCTCTCTCAGGGCCTCTCACAAGGATGTTCAGTAAAACCTCGAGAGACTCTGAAGATCCTGCACTGCTGAGGAGTGAAAGTGAGGTAAATGAGGGAATGCATTCATGACCTTTGTTGTTTCAAGTTCCTAATAAGCTGCTTGCAGAAAATTAATTTTTAGCTTTCCCACTGAATCAGTTTAATTCCTTCCCACTTTCTAAATGCATGGGATATGTGTGAGGGAGTGGTGGCTCCTGTTGCAGCCTACACAAATGTGGTACCATCCGTGGTGGGTACAGGTAACAGCACATTTTACACGGCTCGGCAGCGACGGCAATTCCACATTCCTGCCCACTTTGCACCTGTGTTAATGCCACTTCCAAAGCTATTAAACAGGCGTCTGTGCCCAGAGTGAGTCCTGCCTGCTTGGATATGAGAGATGAGAGCCACGGTCTTTATTGCTTTCCTCCTTGGGACACTGATATCCTAAGTAGGTGCTTTTCTCGCTCATGCCTCACCTGAAGGTGTTCTCAGCTTCAGCTCAGTGAGGCTTTATTGGCCTGAAAATACTCACACTAAAGATGCCAAACTGAATTCCTAATGTCCAGATTCTCCAAGATATAAAAGGTGAGGGACACACATGAACAGGCAACACACTTTTTGGGTTAGTCTACAGAAGTCTGGCTTGCAATTTTCCATACTTCCATTCAAATAAAAAGAAGAGTTTATGACTGCTCTAATGTTGCTTTGCTTTTTCTTCACCTGGAAGCGATATACATGCTTACTTTGTAAACTTAACTTTGGAATTCTCAGTCCTAATCTTTTCTTGTTTGAATTTCCCTTGACAGGGTTTAAATTTCAGGGTATGATGCCTGAAAGGTCTCTTCCTGCAGTACTGAACACTCTCCAGGGACAGGGCCATAGCCAGACACATTGGGCCAAAGGCAGAAATTAACAGCAAGTCCTCACGGGGGTCGTGCCCCCTCCTCCCATTGCCACCTCTGGGTTTTTACTGATTTTTCTCATGTACTCATCCAAGTATTTTCTCCACCTTAAGTGGAGCTGCTCTGCAACTTTATCCCTGGTTGGTGGTTCCTATTTACATCTATCACTATAATACTATTGGCTACTTCAGGACAAATTCCTCAATCCTTTTTGTTTTGAAAAACTTTCCAAAGCAAAAGTAAAAACTAGAATGCTGTGGCTGCTGCTTGTCATTCTGCTCTGTGATGGGCCAAACCCATCAGAAACCTGAGCTGCAACTCTCAGGCTGTTGTCTACCTACCGTCTTCTGAAGTGCTTCTCCTCAGACCTGTGGTATTCTCAGGCATCAAACTGGACAACTTTCTCTTCTTCCCAACTTTAATATCCACTGAAGACACATCAGTGACCTGAAGTTCTGAGCTCAAGGGCAACAGCAACAGCATTTGGTTCCTGCAACACTTTGGGAATTTTGCCACTTCATTTATTTAACTATTATTTTGGTAGAACATGTCAGTCAGATGAAAACCAGTAACATGCTAAATTGCAAAATAATTTGAGTGAAGGTTTGTGTTTTAATTAATTGAAACAAAAAACCAAAGAAAACTAGGAAAAAAAGTACTAAGCCTTATCTTTTCCTTCAGTGTTACAGAAAATAATAACTAAAACAATTCTCTCTGAGTCATCTTGAATTAAAATGCTTTAGGTTTTGAATTTAGCAGCCAAAGAGATAAATCACT